TTAAAATTTCACTTTAAAAAGGTATGTCTTATTTTAACACTCACTCATAAATACAACCCAAGGCACTTCTTTGTCTTTTCCTGTCCTCTCATTCTCACTCTTATCTTTTGTTACCTTTCCAAATCGTTTTCTCTTTCTATCTTTATTTTTCATTTTAAATATACAATTTAACTTATATAATTTAAGTGGAAGCAGTAAAATAGTTGGAGTAAAATGTTTATTAAAACTATAAATTACATAATATATATATATTAAACTACACATGGATTCAACCACATTACAACTAGGCAATGACACAGTTGCATCCACAGGCAGCGCCAGCACAAGCAGCACCTGCAACGGCGACACCTGCGGCACCTACAGCAGCTCCAGCTAACAACAAACAGCAGTTGTCTTTGTTTTCTTGTTTGGTTTGAGTCTTTTGCATCTTGTATATATTTGGGTATGATGGGCTGTTTCTTATGGGAAGACAGGAAGATAAGAAGATTGGAAATATCGAAACATAGAAACATGAAATAGCTATCCTATTTATATAAATTAAAATCAATGGATTCATAGTAACGATAGATAGCCAATTACTTCTCACTTCATCATATATTTCCCGTTTCAGAACAACAGTCATGCTACTTGATTGCCTAATCTGATAATATTTTATCATCTATATACAGTTATCCAATCTTATCCGGGTTTAATAAATTCGTTTCACCATCCTGATGGCATACACCATAAACCTAGAGATTCATGTATGTCCTAAACACAATCATTGACTAGACCATAAAATCTGGTTGCTGTGACAAGGACTCCTTGGGATCGGTACTGGACAGTAACTCATGTCACATACATTCTTCATTCCATGAACTCGCTTTGTTTTCCGTTTCCCAAAGAGGTATTTGTTGCGGACGTGATGTAACGACATTTTTCAGTATCGAACAAACTGGATCTTCGATTTTGAGGAACTGACAGGACTAGATGTCCTGTGGGTTGCTTCGTAAACGAAAAGTGTTGATACACAGAAAATGGAACATGACAGATCCAAACAGTAATGTGTCATATTTAGTTTCAACATTCTCTATTAGAACGATATTTAATATAACTTTGGTAGTACAGCGAATTAAACACAACCATGATGTAATATAACCATGTTCGGTAGAAATGGGATGCTGTAATGAGATTGTATTGGTATAAGATGCAATTTCATCATAAGAGAATATTAAATCGAATTGCAACCAATTGCAACCAATTGCATCCAAACTAAAATTTATATCTATTATGCTCCATTTCTAGTTTTCAATGTTGTAATATGATTTGCGTCAGAAGCTTAACCAGCACAACAAATACAACAAGCATAACCAACTGCTAACTTGAGTAATTAGATAAAATCTTTAAGTTGTATATTGGAATTATTTTTTATTTTATTAGTAACTATTCCTGCCTTGTATTTAATCCTTCTATAATTGTGCCTAATAAAAACAAGATTTAGCTTCCCACTAATATAATTTAAAATGAATCAACAATTAACTAATAACACAGAAACTGTTAACCATACCATATCAGTTTCGAACCCGCCTTAGCACTTGATATATAGATGAGTTTAATATACAATAATCAAATTCATATCCTTCCGTGTCAGCAATATTGTCGCTTCTAATAGGATTCTCATAAATGTATCATTAAATGAGATGTTGGACAGAGGTGTTTCCAGTTCAATATTTTCCAGTTCTCTCTGTCAACCTTCTCTTAGTTACTAAAGTTACAGTTATGTTAATAATACATATTCGTTGGTATCGTGTACATAAAAGTATATAAAATTACAAAGCTGGGTGAATATTCAGATCGTTTAAACAAATAACGCTATACCGCAAGTCTAGCTAATCAGCGTCAAACTCCAAGAGAATATTGAAGTTAAAATACTAAAACTCTTAATAGCACACGGCCCGTTCTTGTGTGAAGCCGCTGTGCTGTTGGAATTGGTGGAACTTGTGGAGCTGGTTGAGCTAGTTTTACCACCATACATGGAGATACTTGAACTATCTGTCTTGCTCGTTGTTTTGGAAGTAGTGGCTTTGTATGAGCTTACAACACTACTACGAACGCTCAATGAGGTATTAAGTGATGTTTTAGTCGAGGAAGGAGAACTGTTGTTATCAGAACCAGCTAAGTTCAAATCACCATTCGTATTGTAATACGTAAAATTTTCAAATGGATGTGGGAATAAATTATGGTCTCTCAGTTTTTGGTAATCCCATTCAGGTGCACTTTCGGTTTTCCAGTTCCAAAAAAACCAACCTTTATTATAAGTATTGAACCTTGACAATTGAACTTCGATAAACTTTCTAACTTGAACCTTGTATTCTTCAGGCCACTGGTCAATAGGTTTTTGAGAAACACAAGTATAACCTTCGTTATAGTCACTATAGTGATCATTGTCACCTTCATCATATGTATTATCATAGTCTGACCCATAACCTATACCATTAATTCAAGGTGTGCAATCAGTCAATGCACCGCTCCAGGAACCTACGAAAGTTATAGGAAAGTCAGGCTCACCAGTTAAATTCCTACGATAGTTATATAATGCTTCAAGATATCCATCGGTACCATTATATTGATCAAATGAATCTCCTGAAGCTTCATATAAGAAATATGGATCATCAACTTCAACTAGACGTGAATCTGACCTATAACCAACTCCTTTGTAATAGGAACTTGAACTATTGTGGAAGTCACGATCTAAGTCATGACACGTCATATTATATGTTGGGCCATTTTGCTCAAGGACAAAGGTTATATTTGGATTAGGGTTTTTGATACTATCCTTTGCGCTTTCATAGTAGTCAAAGCGATCTGTATAAAAGTCGATTAAATCATTTCGGAAAGTTGATCTAAGATTTATTGGAGTAAATGATACCTCAATTCCGAATAGAGTAGATGGATAATCTATATTTAACATATAATCATAATATTCTTTTAGAATTACAGAAATTACTTCCGTTGCATTTTCATACTCCCAAAAGTAATAACTATCAGAATCAAAATCATCATCATCATTGTAATTTGTTGAATTGTGAACTGCATACACGTTAACCAATACCTTGAGATCATATTTTAATGCCCAATCTAATGCCTTGTCAAGGTATTCTTTTTGATTACTGTTCACGAAAGGATCACTGAAAGTCTGATTGCCTGGATACAAATTAGTTGTATTATCTATTTTCCACACCCAGTACCCAATAGGAATCTTGACATAGTTGAAACCTTCTTCACTGATTTGCTTGAAGTCGTCTTCGGTAATCCAAGTTTTGAAATGATTGTCTAATAATTCCTTAGCATCATCATATCCCAATGCTTCACATAACGTGTATTCGTTGATAATAGTTACGTTTGATCCTTTTTTTTTGCCAGAGCCATGGCGTCCTTGTACGGTGATGGAGTGATGTAAGGTTCGGTAACCAACCAACCACCAATATTAATACCTTTATACTGACCATACTCATTTGGATTTACGGAAATATCTTCATTTTTGTCTAAAGCATTGGCATCGATTTTGAACCCGACAGTCAAATTGAAGACCACGCATAACAGTACAAATATATTTATGCCTAGCATATTCATACAACAGGTTGTATAGTGCAACTAAAATTCACTTGATTATATTTCTACAGAGAAATTGGCATCGAATAGTTCTTAATCGTGAAATTCCAGAAACAGTATTGGTATCTGCGATCATTCCTGTATTTATATAATCCAATTCCTTCAATTTTACAAGATTGGCAAATAGTGGAAGCGGTTGTGGAGAAGGAATAAAAATTTTTCATTCCTGTTGTCTCAGCAGTGTACCTTGTCCAGCTTCCATGGATACCGTACAGTTGCCTGGAGGAACCGCAACAACTTATTCAGGTTATCCCAGGTCTCGAGATCGGGTTATAAAAACTCTGCAGAACCCAACATCATTTCGCACTGCTACGTGGGTCTGTGCACAATCTTTTGATTGCTTTTTATAGTAAACAGTCGAAAGGAACAAGGAACCAGTGAAGGAACTGAAGAGATACCCAGTCAGTTCTTCGAAAATGTGTATTCTTTCTGTAGAGCTAAGTTAACTCATACGTTATAGATACCTAATAAGAATACGTTTAATAAGTGTTGGTGTTGCTTTTATTATTCTTTTCGTCTAAACTCTGGAGACCACTACATTTTAATACATATACGTATTATTAAAGAAATTAGATATTCTTCTTTTAATGTACAAGGTAAGTATTTTATTTATAATAATATATATTAATTTGGAATAGTAGTTACTATTTAGCATCATTAACGTTAATAAGAATGATGCTTCCCTTTTGGCGAAACACATCCTTGTTTAACCGTTTATTATTGGCCTCTATTAAGTGATTTTTATGTCAAGTGTATCATTTGTTCTAATATGTAAGTTCTGATGCCAATCGAAAGCAATAAGCATTATCCAAGCTAAATCAGGAGCTACTAAGCATCAAAATATCGTTAATGAAGTATATGGTATATCAGTTTCTTGTTATCCAGGTAATTTAAAATTCGACTTGGTCAGACACTATTGGGCTATTTCAGGAATCCTTATCGGCGCTGTTTATAATGATTATATCTTCGGTGCATACTCCGGGTTATATGAGGCCATATCTCCTGAGTTAACTACTAATGATAAAGGTGCATATGTCGTATTATTTGGCGAAGTCTGTATTCCTAGAATTTATATAAAATTTGGTATGATCAATGACTCCTACGCCAACATTTTGGCTTGGTCGAAGATATGATAAGGGAATATTTCTAAGGATAATACTATGATTCCCCCTCAACAACTTATACTATGTCATTGGGCATTAAACCCAATTATACTTCATCTCAATATCAGGAAACGTAATTCTGAAGCTTAGAAAATATATTTCTATTTGATGGTATTTTAAGAAACCTTCCTATTTTTATCTTATCTGTTGTAGACCCTCCCTAGATGATTTTGTATCTTATATGTTGTAAATAAAACTATTGGATTATCATAAAGATTCTTCCCGATTTAAGCTACAAATTATTAGATTGTGTTTCATACTCCAATGTAAAAAAAATGGTTTCTAGGCCTATGATAATTAATTGGCTTGAATTTCTTTGTATATTGTTGATCTTATTGAAATAATTTTTCCCAAGTTAGTATAGCGTTTATCTTATTTATTTTCTCTGTTTTTGTAAATCATTCAAGAGTATTTTGAATAGATAGAATTACTAAAGTGTCGTAAGTGGACATGACTTGGAGAGTATTATATGTATTATATTGTGAACGTACTATAGAGAGATAAAATTTAATGCAATTTCCTTTTTACAGTAGTTTAGTTTAAGACAAGCCAAACTAGATGATTCTTCCAGAAAATTGCATATTAGTTAAAAAAATCATATTGCTTTATATATGTATATACGACGATTTCAGTTTTCAAATTGTCACGATAGGAAACTATATATGCTTCCCAAATTATTAAAATACAATTTCTTAAAAATATATCCATTCATTACTATGAAACACCAAAAAAAGTAATTCCTTTTAAACATTTTGGAAAAACTTTTATCCACCTGAAGTATATGTTGTAGAATCAGCCATAATTCTAAGGAATACCTGTGATAAAGTTTAAACTGTATTAGATATATTTCTAGTTCTACCATGTATAGCACATAAATAAAAGGTCATACCGAATGAAATTCCTGATATCACGTCAAACAGAGAATTAAGTATATAGGCTAAGGGTGTGTGTACTTTATCTTTATGAAGTAATAGCTTCAAAGTTGTTAAACCTGCGGCCAAAAAAATTGAAATCAATTTAATTACTTCAACTGATTTTTTAGATGATTCTGTAACATCAATGATTTTCTCCTCTTTGATTGCTTTTAAGCTCTCTGGGTCTATCTTTGAATCTTGCATTATTTATATTAAATTATTTCTAGGGACTAATGATCACTTAGTCGATAGGGCTAATAATAAATTAAGGAACAAAGGCATTAACTTCAAATGATGTTTCCTTGCAATAAGTTCATTTAAGGATCTTGTTTCACCGCTTTTTTTTGCAACTGTATTCTGTAGAAATGACGTCAGAATACTATCGCAATCGATAGAAACGCGGAGTCACAAAATGTCACGTGAATTGTTTCCAGGTAATTAAGGACAAAGACTTTAATATTCTGACTAACCAAGTGACATATTACACACTCATATATATATATATATTATTTAATAGTTAAAAGATGAAAAGGCTAGTTTAGTTACAAAAAGATACAGATTATATAATTGAATATAGTACTCATTCACTCAACTGGAAATGTTTTTTTGAATAAACATATTAATTGTGAAGCGAATTTCACTTCTAATTAAGCCTAGAATCATAAACTCGATATATATATCTATATAGATGATGTGTAACTGTTAACTACAATCTTCCTTTTAAAATTATACTACTAAATCTTATAGGGTCCACTAATAACTCTTGAAACTTGTGATATTTAGTATATTTCTTTTATTTGAAAAGGGTACAATGATATTATATATTACATAAAAATGAATATGACGGCTCTTCTTATTAGATGATTTTGGTTAAACTATCATTAATTGTTATTTATTCTACACATCTCAAATGATGATATAAAAAAAGGTTTAATGGCAAATTCTTATCTACTTATTTGATGCTCTATTTAAATTTTGAATTAATCGTCAATTCTGTTGATTTTTTGTATCATTTTAACCCAACGTGTCGTTTCTCAATATATGGTTATGTATCCTAACCTTAGATCAACAATTACCATATACCGCATTTCGATATCAAAATTCTATCTTTGGAACTGTGGTGATCAAAAAATATAAAAAGAGAACTTTACTTCAAGAATATCTTTTAGGGTTTCGGGTGTATGAAAGAGAATGTTTTCCCCAAGAATATTAATATAACTATATTTTTGTAAGATCAATCTTTTTGTGTGACACCTTTTATTTGACTGTGGAGTGCCAGGTTTAATAAGGTAATCTTCTGAATATGTTGATAAATAAAATAAGTATGCTTAGTTTAAGATCTCATCAACTAATTGTGCTTCTTTGTTTTTAAATCTCAAATTAATGATCGTGTAGCTGCGAGGCAGAAAAATGACAGCGTATTCGGATTCACCGTAATCATAAAAATGTATTAATAAGTTAGGCGGTAGAATTATAAAGTAATGGGTTAACAGATGGGAATAGAATAAGTTTATTGCTTTAAAAAAGCTTCATACGAACTATCATACCAAGACTACGCCCAACAATACTCTTAATTATCGTTGAGACTAATAAAGATTAACAGTAACTACTATTTGAAAATACTGTATATTATTCTACATTATTTACATACCCTGACGGTATAACTATTCATAAGGTAGATATAATAGACATATGGCTAGATCTGGTTACATATAGATTGGCATCTATTGATCCCCAGAATCCAACACATATGGACCCTGGATACCGGTTGTACTTCACATTTGTGTTGTGACTTACAACTATTTGAAAATTTCAAACCTTCCCGTAGCACCAACAAGATCAGTGGTGTTGCAGGAAGTGTATCCATTCTTGGTTATGGCGATGTCATAATGGACAACATTAAACTACAACATGTAGCTTATGTTCCAGACTTACCGGTAAATCTTATCTCGTTTCGTCAAGCAACAGAAGTTGGTGGTTGTGAATTCATCTTTAACAAATCCTCTGTGTTTATGTCATCTCCTTCTAGAAAATTGAAGAAGGTTGGTAGTATCCACAAGAAACTATATGTGCTAGATATCTCTACTAAAGCTCCCGAAATAACTGAGCTCTCATTTGTTGCTGGTAGTGATCCAATGCTATCTAGAGAAATCAAACCTGTCTCCGAAAGCATTCGCTGGTACAGTCGTTTTGGACATCCAGGTATTGAAGCATATAATTCTTTGGCTAGAACCTTTTCTCTTCCTCGTATGCATCCTGAAAACATCACTGTTTGACCTACATGCTCGTTAGGTAAAGGATTGATCAAGAAAGGGGGGGGGGGGACTCTAGAACCACATATTCTTCTCCACTACAGTTAATCCAAGTGAATCTATGCGAAAATTTTCGTTACAAAGAGTATAAGTCCAACCGATACTTTATGACCATCAGAGATGCATACTCTAGGTACTATACAGTTATCCATTTGAACGCTAAGAAGGATGCTATTCAAGAACTTATTGATTGGATCAATCGCACAGAAAACTTCTTTTCTTCTAGAGGCGGCTACAAAGTTGGCAGCATTAAAACTGATAACGGTGGTGAGTTCAAGAATACTGTGCTACATGAGTACTTGATTTCTAAAGGAATTACTCATGAACTGACTATCCCATATAGTAGTTTTCAGAACGGTGCTGTTGAGCGTGCTCACAGAACAATTGAAGAAAGAGCCAGATCTTTATTAATTTCTGGTAGAGTTCTACCAGAATTATGGAGTGAGGCTGTATTTTGTGCAGTATATCTCATTAACCGTACTCCGGTGCCTTCCAAAAAGAATTTTATTCCGGCAGCCTTATGGGTTCAAGTCGAGTCCTTTACTTTTGATAATTTGGGAACTTTCGGATGTACTGCTTACATTTCTTTACCACCTCAGCTTCGTGACAGTAAACTATCTCCTACATCTATCAAAGGAGTACATGTTGGCTATGATTCTCATCATAAAGGATATCGAATCTACGAAATTGAAACTGGTCGAATTTTTGTCAGTGATCAAGTCAAGTTTGATAAAAATGTCTTTCCTTTGGAAGGCGTATCCATTGCTGAACTTCCTCAGAAGTATGCTACTTCTCCAATCAATGGTGTTCCATCATATTCTACAGTAACAAGTGGATCTAGTTCATATTGTCCTTCTGGAAATATTACTATTTTGTCTCCACTTCTATCTCCTCCTTCAGATTCTCCTAATGGGAATGATATTGACCATGACACCAATATGTAAGATGGTTCTCAGGAATCATCTACTTCTCCTGATACAATGGATGTTGATATGGATGATTCGACAACAAAATCCCTACCCGATGAATCATCTTAATCGCCTGTGTCTTCCCATAGTTCCGACCTAACATTTAAACCTTCATCATCGCATTCAATTGAATAACTGTATAGCACCTATAATAAGCATCTCTTATAGTCATAAGGCATTGATTAGACCGATATTCTTTATAACGAAAATTATCAAATAAACCAACCTTAATTAATTGCAGTGGACACTTATAATGAGTTCTGGAATTTTGCCCTTTCTTAAAAATACCTTTCCCTAAAGAGCATGTATGTCAAACAGTGGCATTATCTGCATTCTTGCAAGGAAGTAAAATGGTTCTTGCCAGGCAATTGTATGATTCAATACTAGGATGTCCAAAACGACTGTACCAGCGAATGATTTTGAAGACCGGTTGGATTTCCGCAAATAGCATCGGATTACTTTCAGCACCAAACGAAAGTTAAGTGTTTTCAGAATCATTGATAGAAGTATCTAGAACATATAGCTTCTTATAAACACTGCCTATTTTTTTTAAAGAGTATAAGGAGATGAGACAAAAACAGATAAGTTATTAAAAATAAAATCACAATTATTAACTACTGTAGCTTGACAAGCTAAGATAAGGTTAACCGGTAAGTCCGAAACATAAGCTACATTTTGTAGTTTAATGTTGTTCATTATGATATCGCCATAACCAATAATGGATACACTTCCTGCAACACTACTAATGTTTGTTATTACTTCGGGACGGCTTAATATTTTCAAATAGTTGTAAGTCACAACACAAATGTGAGTCACAGCCAGTGTCTAGGACTCGGATGGACCTATTTTTCTCAGTAAAAAATCCTGGAACTGGGAGTTTGACATTGAGACTGTTACCTTCAACATCACCAGCCATCCAGAGAGTTTCTTTTGTATCAGATTCACTTTGATGGTAATTTAGCTTACCAGCATTCCAATCATTATTATTATTAGATGCACTGGTTTTCTTGGAAGAATCGTTCTTGTAGAGCAACTTTTGAACTTCAGGACAATTTTCCAAATTGCGAGAATCATTGCAGACTTTTCAAACAGTCTTCTTCTTATAATTATTGTTGTTGTTCAAGAAGAACTTCTTCTGAATAACAAAACCAGCTGTGCTGGCAGAAGTATCGAAAGATTTGGTATTCTTCGGATATTCTACCATTTCTTCTACATCATAGTATGAAACAGAAGTTCCTGAACCGTAAGAGTCAGTTAATTTTTAATTTAATTATGGAGTAACGGTCATCAACACCAGAGCCGCATTAGAACCTTTTAGTTTTTGGTGATAATCAATAACAGCAGATCTAACAACAGAATCTTGAGTGACATTGCCAATATCAAGGTCGTCATTCCAATTAAAACTTTTATTGACAAATTTCTTTGCCCAATCTCCACTCCCTCTAGAGATTTTGACGAAGCAGAGTTTAGTTCCTAAAAAATCGATATTGAGGATTTAACACATGTCCTACTATATTTACCTTTCGAGTAGCCTCAAAGTAAAAGTCCGGTTGGGCCAGGTGTTTTAGGAGAAAGGAAGGAACTTTCAATCTTTTTCTCAATGTATTTAAAAACACTCTTGTTAATAAGAGAAATAAGGAAAAAATCAAAGTCATTTTTCATCGAATTAATCTGAGTATCAGTTAATCTATGTTCAACCCTAAGAGAGTGGATACCTCCGGTCTCGACATATTCTTTCCAAATATTAGACAATCAATTACTACTGACCATTTTTACTGACGATCAATCGATTCTATCCAACAAGTAGAACGATTTGAAGAAGAAAGTGAATCTAGTTAACGGATAGTGAGGTTAAGAAAAGTCGAAAAAATTAAATTGAGATATTTGGTGTCCTAAACATCTTGTTGGAGGGAGGTGCTCCCTATATTTCTTTCCCATAAAAGACAATATTTGAAGGACATGTGCATTAGTTCAATTGTCAGGTACAATTTTGGTATCATGTACTGCTTCTTTAATTCCCCTATATTGGTAAAGTCAGACATTTAGATAACTAAAAGTCTTGGAAATTTAGTTAGGTTTCGCAAAATTCTTCCTCTAGAAATTGAATTGTCAATGACCTTGACTATAAGATAAAAAAGCAAAATCCAAGGAAGAAAATTGGGTAATAGATCTAAAAGATAAGATCTTAGCCATTATATTTAAAATATCATAGTATCAATCACTGACCATTCCCACCTAGTGGTCACTCTGAACCAGATTTCTTGGTGGATAAATTTTAAGTTCCTGCAAAAATAAACAACTAAAATCAGAATTTCTGTCAGAGATGAGCCTAAAATAATGGAAAAGACTGAGCAATAATTATATACAGAAACCCTATTATTCTGATACTTTAGTAAATTCAGTTGTAATTTTGGTATCCCGCTGGACTATACATCATTTAAAGTTGATATCAAATTAACTTTGCAACATATTCTTGTCAAATTCCCCAAATACAGAAAGTTATTTCATTATTTAATAGCGGCGGAGATATTGTTACTATTGAGATCAATTATTTTGATAGTCAGATTAGATAGAGCCTGTAAAGCCTGTGAAGCCTAATAATAAATCGATAGATTGAGTTTATTCCTGTAGTCCTACGTGTAAATTGTAGTCCTACGTGTAAATTGTAGTTCGACTCCAATTGAAAATTTTATCTCTAAGTAAAAACGTTATTCTATTTATATTACTCAATCAACACATTGTGCAATGCTTGAAATCCTTACCCTTCTCCTTACTTTCGCAGGTGTAGTAATTGTTTTTACCATATTTTCGTTCTAGCCCAGCGTATACCAAAAATTATTACAACTTGAGTTCCTGAAGTCAAAGAAAGATGTGCCATAATGTTACTACCTTTTAAAGTTATAAAGGATTCTCTTCTAAAAACGAACCATTGGCTGACGGTATCAATTGGTACTCACCCATTATCTACGATATGTATGAGCTAGTTGTTTTATCATCTGGCTAACCATTAGCACTTTTATTTGAATTAGTTATTCTCAGTTCAAAATACTAACTTGAATAAAAATTGCATGTTCTTTCACATTAACCTCATTGCCAAGTTTTTTTCATCCTTTAATTTGCCCATCTCATGTAAGAGCAGTTCTAATTGACTTACAATTGTTAAATATTTATCATGGTCATCATTTATTTAATCTTCTGAAAAATGTACTGAAAATTTTCCTGATACTTCCTTTTATATCACTTGATTCAAGATTCGTTGATTTTCCGAATAACTAATCTCTCAGATTTCTCATATTACTCTGCAAAAGAAAAGATAGTTAAGGAACAATGTTCTCTCTCAGATTTATCTATTTCGTGGAGAAAATGGATTAATTAAAAAAATCAGATCAATAAATGGATATTATGAATACTTTTACGTTGCTAGGTTTCATAATTAAAATCTTGTATTTTGCTAATATTTATTTATTCAACACTTGCGATAGATATTGAAATTCGGAACCAAACTGCGACTGCCTGTTAGGCTCAAAGCACGTCAATAGTGTCATTCGAATTTTCTTAGGCTACATACGAATAGTGTTTTGGATATTAAAAAAAAAGTATATTATTAAACAGTACAAATTATATAAAATATATACCTAGTAGGTCCCATTTTAATACTTGTAATCTATTTGAAAATAGACTCAAAAGTTAGATAAAAATTAAGAATTGTGTTCGAAATCATCTAAACAATGACACAGTCACAGCCACAGGCGTGGCAAGCAGCGCATGCACAACCAGCAACTAATAAGCAACAGTTGTCTTTGTTTTCACCTTTGGATTTATCAGTCTTTTGCATTATTGTTATATATACTTTTTGAGTTTGTATTGGTTTTTTTGTAATTTTATAATAGTATAGAAGTTGGATTTGAAGAGAATAATTTCATAGATGTTGAATAACCTATCGATATTTATATCAATTTTTTTTTTATTCAAGGAGACAACTGGAAATAATACTTTTTTATAAAACTATTTGAAAACTATTGGTATGCAATAATGTCTCCTCTGAATTATATTATGTTTTGATATTAACAGATGTACCTTAAAATTTCACCTCCCAACCTTTATTGATTTTATCTTCAATTTCCCAAAGTAGAACATAATTTTGTTTAGTTTGTTTTCATTTTAATCCTTTAAAAATAAATAATTAAAATAGATAGAACTATTACCTAAGTATTATGTTACCCTTGATATTTCTTTAGATAGTAATGTTTATGCCATATGCGATTTGGTACTCAAAACGTTTCATTAATCTTCACTAATATGGAGATGTTTACCTGAAATAAGAAAATGAGATCTCGATTCGGGTTTAATGAATGATTTGTTATTTCTTGATTCGTCAATATGAGGTATCACTTTGAAAAGTTATTTCAACTCACTATATCCTATTGTACTATTCTTACATAATCTATTTATGTTACAACTATAATTATATCAATGTTATAAAATTATTCTCTATCTTTAGCTACTATAACTACAACTATAAGTGAGGATAGTAAGTATCCTAAGGTGTTTAAAAAAGAATTCGTCTGTGTTCTTTGGAAAGAAACTAATAACAGAAACTAGTATACCAAACATTCTTCTTTTGAATGACACTAGTGATTGCTTACAGATCTTTTGTATTTTCTTTTTTATTTTCGTCGTATGGCTGTTGCACATTGGGTTGTCTATTTCCAAATAGGGTAATATCGTCGATGTCACATAGCGAAGGAGATTACTTCTCCTTTTTAAATGAGCTGTTGTAAGGACTAAAATATTCAATGAGGTAGTGACTAGCAGGATCGAAACAGAGATAAGGACACCGTTTTCATTTGTTTTTTTTGCATTTCCTTCAAGTGTCTTTCTTTTTGAGACTATGGTAAGCAATAATCTATACGATAAGTGATATAATTGTTAACATTTGTTATTAACTTATTGTAAAAAACAACCGTTTTGGTATGAAACAAATTCTATTAATAAATTATGTATTTTCAGAGATGTAAACTATCCAATAATACTATGAATTCCTTTTTAGAAATATTTTCTTACTTTTTAAATAAGATTAGATCGGATTTGGAAATAATTACATCAGACAAGTCAAATGTATTTTAAAAAATCAGAATGGCAATACCAAGGAACAACAATAATGACAGCAACAATATTCATAAAATTTCTAACTTGATTAAAATTTACCATTCGACAAAGATTCCAGTGTTGGCATCAAATATCTTGCTAAAGGCACTTTAATTTTACAACGAGCAAATATTCAAGAAAAGAAGTTTGAACATAAGCAACGTTCGGTAATATTATTCTATTCCATATATTGTTGATTAGAGTTCCATAATACAATATGAAAAAATACAACTCCCACTTTAGGTTGATGTATTTATTGGGATGGAGTAATTATTCTATGTTAAAGAAATTTAAAGTCGAATTACTGGAAAAGGATTAAAACATGTATACTGCAAATATTATATCAATATTATTGTCTTGAACTTTTTAGAGGTTCATCAATTATCAAAGATATATGTCTTTGATGTTTTATATTCTGATTTTTTTATATCAAACCTTTTTTTTATATGTTACATCTCTTAATATATTTCCATTAACTAACATGGAGTTAAGATCTAGTTAGTTGAACTGAATTGTCTATATTTCTCAATAAGATGATATATTTCTGGAAAATAATCTTACATATCATCAGTGCATAAATAGCTTTACTTGTCACTTAGAATCCCATTTCTGAGTATATTAATCCAAGAATATTTAAACTTGCCATGAATGAGATAAACGTTTTATTTCATTTCTTGAAGTATAACGAAAAATAGAAACCTAGGATGGTTTGGAATTAATTTGAAATTAAGATTTATCTGAAATTATATCTCGCTAATGGATCTTTCTGACAGCCAGGAAAGGCGTATATTGGATAGAATTCACAGAACGACTCGAGATATTGTTTTTAGTAAATTTCAATAGGTGACCGTGTATTTAACATGTCATTTAGCTAAAAATACTTAACGCTGAGAGAGTCAATTGATTGGCATTATTGTAGTATTATTTTGTCTCCATTAGAGATTGTTTAATTGAATAACTTTTCTCTGGATGCTTATTTACCGCTACATATACATAACTCGGGGTTTATAGATAGTCTTTCAAGGAATTAAATTACAAGTGTGATTTATAAAAGCGTTTTCAAGTGAAATTTAACTCAGAATCATTATCTCAGATTTGACACATGTGTGATTTCGAGTCAGTATTTTATATGAACTGGAGAAGAAGATTTAAAAATGAAAATGAATTGGAGTTTTCTTAAAAACAAGCAGGTTATCAATGGATTAAAGATAAAGCGCTTAATCTGACTTGTTAAAATAAGCATCTTTTAATTTATTTTTGTATTGATTATAAGATGGGCTTCAAACTTACCTGGGAAACATTCTTCTATTAGAAAGTATTAAGAAATAATATAATAGAAAACATTTCTAGATTATTCAAATGTTTTGTGTGTCACTGACTGGGATTAATATAATAATAATAAAATTGAGTTTCAAAGGTAGCTGAGAAAATATTACTTAAAAAGTCTAATTAGAAAAATTCTCCTTCAATAGATAAAAGTTCAAGATCCATGATAGACGTTTGAAATTAATTTAATGACCTGCTTAATTTTGAAATTTTGTGACATTTAGTAGTCTAGGTAGAACTTTAAAGAAATAAGGTCAAACCTTTGAATAAATCTTCTTGATCCAAAATATTATAATCAAATTCTTAATGCAAGCCAAAAAACTGATATTATAAAGAAGGGGATATAATTGCTAGGGTCGATACAACTAAAATGAGACGTGTGATATTAGTTCATATTAAGATGAATTTAATATAAATTAATTAGTTGATTTGATTAAGACCTTGATTTTCATTCCTCTAGTATTGTGTATATTCTTTTTATATTTGTTACATTTCCTTTTCCTCAATAAGAAGAAATAGCTGTAACTTCTTTTTTATATAGGAAACTAAAGCATGGTTCTGTGCCATTGTATTGTTTCAACATAGCTTCATACGAATTAGTAAAGATCTATGACACCAGATAATACGTGGTATTATTGTTGACACATATAAAGACTAATAGTAATTACTATTTGAAACAATTGTATAGTATTGTATATTATTTACTTACTTTGTACATTAGAAGAAGGGAATATAGAACTCTTTAATAATAAATATACTTATTAACAGTACTAATCTACCACCAAATAGACGAATAGAATAAATACCATAACAGCATTTATTCGACGTACAATTATTAGATATCTACAACTAAAGAATTCACAACAAAGAATACACCATTGAAAAATCGATATTATTGTATTGATTTCGCTTAAGTACAAAATGATAAAATAAGGACAGAGGACTTGTCATGTTTCATGATAAGAATGTCACTAATAGAACGCGAATACAACGTATATAAAGGACATAGTTCCCGAAGTAACGATATACACTTCTTGTTATTAAACAGAAGACCATAGAGATCTTTATATATTTAATACTACTGTATAGTTATTATAATAGTTAATTAACCTCATAGAGCTTATAACTAGTAACCTTAAGTATTGACTTCTACGGCTTGTTTCCCTAGATAAATACTTAATACATTAATATTTAATATTCCGGACCAAACGATACATTATACACATATCTACTATTGTAAATTTTATTTCTCTGTGATGTGGATTAAATTATAACTAGAAAGATATAAAGTACTGAACACCTAAAACTTTAATGAAAATAAATAACCGTCATAAGCTTAGCCCAAAATATTCAAATATCCACTAAAGTTATTTACTCTCCATTGAAAACACTTTATATAGCAAAAAGTAGAAATGTTATCCATACTATATGTCCTTTAAAAAAAAATTTCTTTTTTTATGTTTTGTCTATCAAAACTACTTCAAATATTTTTCTTTTTGATTTCTTGAGTTAAGCTAGGAAAGGTCATTTAATTTAGGTAATCATTAATTAATATTGCTGCTATTGGAAATGGAAAAACCATTATATCAAGAATCATATTAAATATTTTAGTAACTAACATGCTAGGTTAATCGTTTATAGAAGAATCTTCTATACTTAGTATTGTTTGTAATAGAATATCCTCTCTAAGTAGAATCTGCTTATTATCAACGCCATATATTAATAACAATCATATATCATAAGGAATTCATGGTAACGGACAGAAATCTGATCTTCTAGTATTTATATTTTGTAAAAAATGATATAATGGATATTAAGCAATTTGGATTGAAAATAATTGAAGGAAATTTGTATCAACTATCTTATCTTAAGGGACAATAAGGTTGTAACCGGAATTTGAGAATCATTCCTTGAAATCTTTCTACTATTATCAATACTTAACTTAACATCCACAATTCAAGGCCAAAAGAAAAAAAAACTTCAAAAAAAACAACAAAAAAAAACATAATTAACTAATAACAGTTGGGTTGTTTTACCAGAGGTTATACTTGGAATATTATGTCTGACGGTAAATATTAATATATATCCAATTCTTGACCGTACAAATATAACAACTTACTATTAGTTAATAACGTTACAGAAATACAAAATATTGAGAAATTTTTTTTACTTGATAATGTTGATTATATTCTTCAGAAAAGGAACAAGAGAGTAAATTTGGTGGTACCTAAAGTAGTATACACCTCTACTTCTTAGCAACACTACATTGTATTGAAAAACTGAAAAAGAAAACTTTGCTGCAACAAATGCCAATAATATAGAAGTTGATAGCTTAAAGTAGCGCAAAGATAATGCTATTAAGATATAATTAAAAGTGTTATTAGATTCCCAGATTTAGTTTAGCTAGCTCGAAATAAATTCAATTCAGTCTAATTTGATATGAATGCATATCTGTTTATCAGATTGAGAATGTTAGTATACCTTGTCAAAGTTTCATAAGCTACAAGAGATCTCTAGAATTATTCCCCTGATATAAATCAATATTTTTGAGGCCAATCACCATGTCTCTTTAATATATGATGTGTTTACCTTCTATCAGGGTGTATAAAGAAGATAATTTATATTAATATCAAAATGACAAAATATAAATCGAGTATTCGATTATATTTAAAACTATGGAATATCATAATATAATCATATAGTGCATATATTACTGTCACTAGAGTATCAGATTTAACTGCGTCGTTTTATTTTCTATTATTAGAGATTCTTTTTTTATTTTCTTATTTTCTATAACAAGATAAAGTATCCGAAGACATTGAACTAACTTCACGGCCCAATAATACAAAAGGTGAACCAATATATATATCTACGTCTGATGAAATAATAGAATATTTAAGGTTTATGGTTAAGGGTTAGTAGTGTATTACACCTGGCAAATAATAAGTGAAAGTACTAATGTTTGATATTGATGATTATAAACGTAAAAATAAATTATATAAGATGTTTTATTTTTTTTTTCTATTGTTATTTTTATTGGTTATCAGAATTGATAATGACTTCGTTTAAAGTTGGAAAGAAACTAGTTAAGTGAAATGTACTGTTTATGGTAGATGGCCTAATTCAGGACCAAAATATCCTCTTGCTGTATCTGAGATGTTTTTTAATGGCGGACCTGCACCATCTAACCCAGCATATGGAACGTTATTTCCCCACCAACTAAAATTTGTACCCTCATATTGAACAGCGAAAAAGATAATAATAGCTGACAAGACCAAACCAGAGGTAAAACCTGCATCTAAAATATAATTGTATTTTTCCCATAGACGTAAATGGTACTTTTTGAAATGATATTGTGATAGGTAGCTAACAATTATTCCTGGAGTGAAATACATTAAGCCGTATGGTGGCGCCATGTTTATCATACCACCCACAAACAGAATTGGATTGAACCATGTTGGATAGAACTTACCAAAACGCTTCCACACACCAAAAAATAGGCCAATACAAGCACCGATTAACCAACACCATCTTAGAATTGGATAAACATCATTGAAGATTTTTTTTGGTCCTAGAGCACCCCAAACCACAGATGCATTATAATAAGTTGTAGCATCCGGACATGTAAATTTAGCCTTCTGATCATGAGTACAAAAACCCTTGATATTAGATATTTGCCAGTTTAATACTCCTAAATTGACAAAAATTTGAAGAAAAACCATTATCATTTGACCCCTGAATAATGCAATTGGTGGAATTTTAGTATAATGAGCCATTTTCAAGTTTGAAACATAATTATCAGCTTGGCCATCGATATTATAGCCAAAAGCTTTGATAATCATTAAGGCAAAAGGATTACCAGGTAAAGCGTAGCCAACAATCATTTCAATCAATAAGTTCAAGCCCAAACTGAAACCTGCTGTTGCTTGTAACATTGTTAATGGAATTAAAAATGCAACATTGAAACCAATTGAAACAAATAATGACCAGACTGGTGTATTAGTATGATACGCTTCAATAACAGCAATACCTACACCAATAGCAGCTAACAAAACAACAAAGTACCACCAATCTGGCACTTCTTTATAATTTTTCATCATACGAGAATGTGGATCATCGAATTCATCTAAGGCACAAGATTCTTGAGTTAAAAGATTTGTCCAAGTATGTTTCTTTGTTAGTGACCATAAACTCAAAGTCCATTGCTTCATTGCACTCCAAAGCAGCTTTGTTTCTGTCAGCATCGAGTAAACAATTAACATTGGATACGTTGCAATAAATGACCCATAGGCTACCAAGTTACCTGCACTATAGTAAGGAGCCGAATATTCCTGATATTTAGCATTATCTAACTTCCAATCGCTATCCAACACTTCAGTAACTTGGTATCTAGTAGCTCTGTTGGTATACAATGTATTAGAAAACAATGGTAAATATTGACAATCCATATAATTGGTCCAGTAAACTGCAATTACCACTAGAGCAGCAAAAACAGCACCGCAATATTGAGTCATGTTAGAAAAAAATGGGATTCTCAATGGATTAATATAAGATGCGACATTCCAATCAAACGACGCAATTGGGTTAAAACCGATACCACTGACACCTCCTGTAATCATAGCCAAGTTGAAATTATTTGGTGAAATCCAAGTCATCCAATTGAAAGTATTAAATATATTGATAATATAAGTTGGGAACCAATTGTAAATAAACATAGCAAAAAATGTCAGGAAGAAAAACTTATATCTAGTCATCCCATTGGTATTTTCTTCCTTTCTAGATAGTAAAGCTTTGTTTAATGCAATTGTTGGGAATGATGTTGGCCACAACGCCTTTGTCGGATAAACGACAAACTTTCTCAGAATACCAGCAAAACCAAAACCCAAGAATTGAATGCTCAAAGATAACAAAAACTGGTATCCAAAGGAAACATTATCATGATAGTAAACTTTTTGAGTTAGGATATTATAATGGGTGTAAAAAGTACCAGAACAAATTGAAAATAATAAGGTTGAAAACATCTGTTCCTTTTGAGACCATGGTTTATCAATATTGATTGCATATTTTCTACCTTTAATACTGATGCCCCAGCAAGGAACATATTTGGCCCATAGCAAACCTGATGGATACAAGAACATTTGAACAACAGAAGTGTTAATACTGATTGTAACTTGTCTGTGAGAGAAGAACTCATTAAAACCAGAACCGACAATAGCCCAAAACAAAGCAAAAAGATATGATCTAAATGTTTCTACTGGAATAGTTGGATCATCGGTAGGGTCTACCACTGCCCTTACTTCTTTGTATGGAGAATGGAATTTAATCATCGATGCCAAAATTCTTGCTTCATAGCATTGCTTTTTATCATCTATATCGATATTTTCAGGGTTTGACAAATATTTTATTTCTTCATATTCATCACTAGGAATATTTGGATCATCTTTATGATATTCTGCGGCTTTTCTCAATTCTTCAATAGCATCTTCTAAAGGCAATTCCGAAACCTTTGAAGCAATATAAGCTACAGTTGGAGGTATGTCAGATAAGTCCTCATATTTGTGGTAGCCCATTTTTTTCATTACATATTCTAATTGAGCTTCATCGTAAGAGCCTTCGGCGGTATCGAACGAATGTTCAGTGACAGTATGAATTTTAGTATGCTGTTTCTTTTCTGCGGAATCATTGGAATCATCTTCGAGGGATATGTTGGTTCTCTCTAGGCCATTGGAACCCCTGTCGTCCATTTCATAGACTTGGGTCTTGTTGTCATTTTTTTCAGCCATTGTTATAATGGTTTTGATTGCATTGTTTTGAGAGGAGAAATGACATTTAAAATGAAATAAAACGACGAAACAATTTAAAGTTTTAATTTATTAATTGATGCGAGTTAGTATTTATATATCCTAAAGAGAAATCAAGATGTAATAATATCTGTCATCCATACCAAGTCAAGATACATATAGATCAGATAAAAATCAAGTATGAAATTGTTCACCAGTGACTCTTTCAGATAAGAGAAGGTGGAGATAGTGATTGCGTGTGCAATCACGAATGCAAAATAAGTACGGCAAACATTTGAAAGGAGTCGTAGAAGGTACAATTTCATGTATGTGAATAATGAATGAGAGATCAAATTGAATGTGGGAAATCGTACATTTTGCATGAAGTCGCAATGCAATAATAGATTAGCGAAAGAAAAATCAATGAAATGAAAATTAATTAAGAGAAAATGAAATAAAATAGTCAGGAAGGATGTTAAAAGATAAGCAACTGACATCTTGCAGCCATACTGATGTGAATGAATAACTTACTTGATAATGAAATGGTACTCTAATTTAAAATTCTAGTAGGGCAAAATGCTACCCATTCTGTTTTGTTTTAAATTTTTTATTTTTTGGATTCAATCAGCGTTGTTGCTATTGCTGATTGTCAGATTGTACTGACAGTGGTAAGTCCACTATTGATAGCAAATAAACATGATTTTCTCAAATGCAATGAAAAAAACAACAACAACAGCAAACGAAATGCAATAAATTGGAGGAAATAAGACAAATTGAGAAAGTATGAATACATTTAGTTGTCTCGAAATCATCATATATGTAGAACATCAAGATAGCAATGGACTCACCACAGCAACCTGAATGAAATTCAAGGATAATAATAATAAAATGTAATCGTTGCAACAAACTATCAATCAATTAAGAACTGAAGTGAAGGATAACAGTTATTTGATAATTATTTGGAAACAAAAGGTATCAATAGCAAATTGATACAGCTGCGGCGCAAATGAGCCCAATATTGAGAATTTTAGAAAATGTTCGTATTGCTGCTCAATTGCGTCGTCGAGAAATTGCTGTTGCTCATAGTTGTGGTTATTTTGATCATGACGATTACACAAAACACACAAAGACAAATCAACCCAAAAAAAATATACACAAAAATAAAAGACACAAAAAGACACACAGTAAAAAACCCTTTTTGAGACTCAGTTACAAAAATGAGATCAAGGAGAGAAAAACGATATCTGCAGGAACCCTTCGAATTTTCGACTCTTGCCGTGAGAATACTGTGTGGAAGAGGGAAAACGGATAAGAATTCAGATCAGTTTCCATTTTGCATTTGTACGTCTCACATAAAAGAGTATGCTATGCGCAAGAGAGAGAGAGAGAGAGAGATAGATATATATTAAGATAACGAGATAGAACTGTGATGCGATAAACATTGCTTGAGATAGAAGAGAGCCGTTTCCCATCGATCGTTTCTGATAACGATGTAAGGGGCTGCTGCAACACGAAACGTGATATTTTTTTGGACAAAAGAGAAGAAAAGCAGCAAGAAAAGCAGCAAGAACATACTGTTGCAACCAAATTTCGATTTCTATTTATGAGAGAATCCCGAGATCTGGGATCTGGGTGAGATAAGAAGAATGAATTGAAGTGCGCGTTTATCTGAGGATAGTGATAGCGCCCGATAAGAAGTTGATACTCAAACAGAAAAAAAAAAGCAAACAAAAGGTCAACACGCCGGACGGATCGACTGACTGTATGACTCGATTGCTGCAACTTTAAAAATGACATGTATTTCGTTGCAATTGCAAATGCAATTGTAAATGTAAATGTGATCGCAATTTTAAATGTGGTTGTAAGAATTTTGAACCGTTTCATTGGCGAATGAATCTATATTTATAAGATACTAAAATAACATAATATAACATAAAAATGATCCAAATATTAAAACGAAAGCTTTTGCAACGACAGGGACGAGAAATAATCGTGGCGTATACAACCATATTAAAGATATACTGTTTATATATGAATAATTACCACACTGGTACCAACTAACTGACCATGGTCGGTCGTACGAATGAACAAACATCGACAACAAGGAGCAGAAACCTGGGAACACCAAAGCAATAAAACAAACAAACAAACAAACAAAACGCCAAACCAGAAACAGTTTCGATTCGCTCACAAAAGAAACTTGAATCCAACCTACTTTTTGTAAACTGTTGGATTGGCTTTCGAGAAAAAGAAATCATCAGAAAAACCATCCCACTGCCTTAAATGATGATTATTTTTAGCAACGTCTGTGCTCTCTCCCCGCATTGCCAGTGTATGTTCTTGTGGTTAAACAAATATATCCGTGTTGCAGTATGGAAATACAGGTTAGGTAGGTTTTTCCTCCCAGTCTGATTTCTGTAATGTGTTGTATTATATTGTATTGTATGAGATATAATTAGTGTGTGACCTTTACCCAAAACTTATGCAATCCGAGACAGAGACAAAGAAAAAGAAAAACTGAAAAAGTCGAACGATATAACACCGCCGTTCACTCGTTTTGTTCTTGGTTTGGTTTCTGTCACGGCTGTCCTTTTCTATGAGTACAGCCAGCACTGATTGTTCCGGACTCGGAGAGACACGGCGGAAGATTCGGCCCTACCCCGCCACTTCCAGTACACAACCATACCCATAGCCATACCGTACCATTCGAAACCAACAAGGAAGGATTAAAGAAAAAAAAACAATCAAACAAAAAAGAATACACTAAGAAATTCTCAGGACTATCTGTTGATTAATCCTAGAATAGGTGGTGATTTTGTTACCAAGTTCGTTACTCTTCACCACCACCACCACCACCACCACTACTACTACTACTACTAAATTCATCTCAATTTCTATCTGTATGTTGCTATTACGAGTCATTGACCGAGCACCGGAGAATCATGACCGTGCAATCATGGAAAACGACATGACATACCAGCCAGTGCTGCTGAGTTCACCTACTAATAAAAAAACAAAAAAGGAATTTCTGTTCGTTTTGCAAATTTCAAACAATTAGTTCCCTGCCATACTAGGACAACATTACCCCTTTTCCCATCGGCCTTTTTTTTTTTTTTTTTTTACTTTCCTTCTTTTTCTTGTGGCTTGTTAATTTTGGTTGAATAGCTAGTTATGTTACTAGCCAACAACACCTAGCCAACCCAGCCGTATAACACCGTGAGAAGCACGGCGGTGTCTATTTCCCGTCGTGTGTTTCTTTCTTCCCAGCCACTTGTGTTTCCCACCCATGATCCATAATATGAAGTTTCGGTTCTTTTGGTTTCTCTCTGAACGTGACAACTCTCCCAGACGACACGGCCAGAACTGCTGATTCAGGTTCGATTTTCGCCTTTTTTCTTTTGAGTTTTTGTTGCAAGTTTTTGTGTTGTTTTTGTGTTGTTGTGTTACTTTTATCGTTAACTGTTTTATCTTTGTGCCATTAAGAACATGGCGTACACATATATATGAATCTGTCTTTGTGGTTTGGCTAGTATTTGTGGGGTAAAATGGGTTGGTTTGGTTTGGTTTGGTCTCGTCTCGTCTCGGTTCAGAATCGGCATTCACGTTACGTATACAGACAAACAAGAACGCAAAATATTTATCACAGCAATAAAGAAAAACGAAAGCAAATGCGTGTGTCTGTCTTGTTCTGCTGGTGTTTATTCCTGGTTTCTACTTTAAGAGGTGGTTGGCTGCAATCTGAAATAGTTTCTTTTTTTCTTTTTTTCTTTTTTTTATTTTTATATTTTTTTGCGACAGACAAATCAAACACGACTCGACATAACCCAATTATACGTAATGGTATTACTTCTAGTGCAACTAATACTATCAGTAGCAGTTGCAGTTGCACTAACTCTGGAAATTTTTCATCTCACTGGCGGTATAATCTGTTTTGGGATGAATTAAAGTTTTAGTTATAGTAATTTCGATTAATCACCCATTTTGAGGTTGACTACAAACAACGTAATCTGGTTACAACTAATGTGGTTATGCAGCTACATTTGCTAATTGCTCCAGCTCTGACAGCGAGGGATGAGGCAGAGAGAGAGGGGGGTTCTAATACAAGCAATACAATACAAGATAATTTAATAAAAGAAAATTAAATATGGTGGGGAAAAAACAGAGTATTAAAAAATACATATTGATTTAATGTAAGGTTATCCAAGGCACTGCAGCGCAGTGCAGTGCACTGCACCGCACTGCCTTACACTGCGCTGCAACTACACTACTCTGTCGTTAGCCACTTGAAAAATTTACTATAGGACAGAGAATTACAAAGAATCAAATATTGCGAGAACTAAGTTGCTAATAAATGATTACTATTCAATTAATTATCCGCAATGCTACATTTTGTTAACAATTTTTGTTCGGTTAATTAAGCCAACATCGAAGTGTATGGGAATTGATAGCCTTCAGAATTCAAAACTCAATATGAAATAAAACAAAACAAAATTAAATCAAATCAAACCAAATTTAATGTTGATTTGGTGTTTCATCTGAAAATTTGCCTAATTATATGGGAATGGCATTATAATTTTTTGGCTGCTCTGTTGTCGTCATCTTCATCAGTTTTCTTATGGGTTAAAAAAAACAACATTTAGTATAGAATTAAAATATAACAAGAAATTTGTAAAAATCATGACGGTTTTCGTAATAGGTTCCTTATTTATTTTCCATGCAACTTCCTCCACCTCATACTCTTATTTCCCTTTTCTTCACTTCTTCCTATCCTCCTCTCATCTCTAATATATTTCGGTTTTGAATCTTATCTCATCTTCCCCACTCTATAATTTTAAAATAGCAAAACGATTACATTATCAATTCAATTATTGATTCGATCTTTAGAAAGATAGGCAACCTTACAGAAACATACATCATTCGTTTCTTCTATTTCGTGTTACGTTTTAGCTTTTACATTTTCTTCTTCGAAACCCCAGATTTAATGACTCTCAAGCTAAAATAATTTCAAAAAAAAAAGTATTTAAATCAAACCCAGTTTCCTAGATTTGAATTGAACTAGTTTAACTTTCCATTTATATTGAACTGTTATCAATATTCTCACTGTCGATATCAATACAAGACAAGTAATAGTGCTTATAACAATTATATCAAGACACTGACATTGATCTATTTTCACTATGGATTTTTCAGACACCAAGAAGACTGACGTCTTGCACGTTGAAACAGTACCAACTAAGACTTGGGATGATCAATCTGATTCCGAATTAAGATTAGAATCAACCTCTTCAGGCTTGGATTATGCTACCGACAAGCATGGTATGCCTATTGAGGAAGACATCTTCGTTACAAAGGAACAAATTCCTGATTCATTAAAAGATTTTACCACTGAACAATTAGAAGAATTATCAAGAAAGACTCGTAAAAAGATGGATTTAAGAATTTTAATCATGGTTTGTTGGATTTATATTTGTAACTATCTTGATAGAACAAATATTGCCACAGCTAGATTGGGTGGTTTGGAAGAAGATTTAAATATTACTAACACCCAATACCAAACTGCTATCTCTATTTTATTTGTCGGTTATATCACTATGCAAATTCCATGTAACATTATTTTGAATCGTTTGGGTAGACCTTCTTTATTCATTACGGTTATTATGACTGCTTGGGGTATTGTATCTACTTGTACCGGTGCCGTCCAAGACTATGGTGGATTGTTAGCTGTTAGAATTCTTTTGGGTTTCGTCGAATCTGGTTTCTTTGGTTGTTGCTTGTACTACTTATCATGTTGGTATACTAAAAAAGAATTGGCCTTGAGAAACTCCATCCTATACTCTGGTTCTTTAATTAGTGGTGCATTCTCGGGTTTAATTTCAGCTGGTATCATTGAAGGTATGGATGGTTTACATGGTTTGAGAGCTTGGAGATGGTGTTTCATTATCATGGGTGCACTCACCTGTGGTACAGTTCCACTTGCATATGTTGTTTTACCTGATAATCCTTCAAACACTAAATTTTTGTCACAACAAGAAAGAGATATTGTCATGTGGAAGTTGAAGATGGATGTTGGTGACTCTGATGATGATGATGCTGTTTTGGGTGATAGTAAAAACTCTTTTATGTTCGCTATGAAATTGGCATTGAAAGATCTAAAGGTTTGGATGATTACTGGTTGTATCTCTTTGTTGGTTGCCGCTGCAGGTGTCACTAACTTTTTCCCATCTGTTGTTCAAACTTTGAACTTTTCAAGAATTGTCACTTTATGTCTTACAGCCCCACCTTATTGTATTGCCGTCTTTACTACTTTTATTTGGGCTTGGCATTCAGATCGTACTGGGGAAAGATTCTACCATGTTGTTTTACCACTATTGGTAGCTTTAATGGCTTTTATTATTGCAGTTTCAACTTTAAATACTGGTGCTCGTTATTTTGCAATGTGTTTGATCCCAACTGGTTTGTATTGCTCTTACACAATTATTATTTCATGGATCTCGTTGATCGTCCCAAGACCACCTCTAAAGAGAGCTATTGCCATTTCTATCATGAACTGTTTAGCCAACTCAACTTCTATTTGGAATCCATATCTATATCCAGAAGAGAATGCACCACGTTATGTCATTGCATTTTCTTGTAACTGTGGTTTTATTGCTGGTTCCATCGCTCTTGCATGTGTCTTAAGAATCTACTTAAGACGTTTGAACCAAAAGATTGATAATGGTACCATGAATTGGTTCAGAGAATTCGGTAACGATGGTTCTCATATCAAGAGCTCATTCAGATACATGGCTTAATGCATATGTATTATGTATTATGACGAAGCATGAAAACTTAATTTGTAAAATGTATTTTGGTCGAATGTCATTTGGAAATCTAATACATTTTTATGTGCAATTATGAAACAATTGGATTAATATATTCTATTTAGGGAACATTTACGTGAGAAATTGTTATTAATATTGGCAATTATTTTTCTATTTTTAATAAAATGACAAAGAACTTTATAAATCAATATGAACTTATGCAATTTTGTAGAAGTTATATATCTATCGATGTAATGTAATATATGGCTTTAATTAATTAACTGTCAAATTGTTTTCCTATCTCTATTCTATATTATAGGAAATGGACCTGAAATATTCGGGTTATAGAGATAATCCTCTCTTATTGAAGACTCAATTTTCAGGGTCAAATAATTTATCCAGATAATCCCATCTATATAGTAAAGTTTCTGGAACAAATTCCCGAACATTTCTGATATTTCAAAATCCTGTGGTGAACAATTTTCAAATCGTTTGTCAAGATTTTATGATTAACCTCAAAATATTCTGTTTATTGGATGATAAATATAATATTCAAAGTAAGTATTAGTTTTTCCACCTATATTCTGCATATATCCAATATCCACATTGGCACTACGACGTGAGCTAACAAAATATCTATCTATATTTTAAACTCGATAATCGCTAGCGTGTCCTTTGTTAGATTAGTGACACCATTGCGTACCCCGCGAGACACATATGCTAGAGATCCACTAATAATTACTTATAGAATCCAAACTTTCCCTTAAATGCTAATATTAATATAGAGAATACAGATCGAACCAATGTCAACGACTTTCATGAACCCAATTCATGTAACGTCACCATTATCATCTTAACTGTGTGGATGAACACTCACTCTTTCATAATTAAGCTTCCTGCGTATATCAATTTTCGAAATTTTCAGATATCTGAAAAATTATTTAAGCATATCTGAGAAGCAGGAAAAGGAATTTCGAAACAATGCATAAAATTATTAAAAGTTGATGCATAATGTATGAATTAAGAGGAAGGGGGTTCAAATATACTCTAGATCTATGGAATATCAGTAACAGTGATTATTTTATTTGGTTCAGTCCTGTTTCGTTAGAGTTTCTAGGGTTTGCTTAACATTTTTGTGAGTTTTTCCATATTACATATAGGCTAAATTAATCTTCGATTTGGGTAATATATAAATATATCAACATAATTTAAGATTCGAGATTGCCTTTAATACATTTTAATTTAATCAGAAGATTCCCAGTTTTTTTTAGCTAATTTTCATTTCACAATGTCTGATCAAGTTTATGTTCCGCCAACATCAGCACCAATGAGCAACGAGTTAAAAGTTAGAGAATTTTATAGACTCCACAATGCTTGTGTGAAATTGAAAGAGTCTATTAAATTGATTTATGAAAACCCATTGGTAACTGACCAAAATGTTTTGAATTTGGGAACTGCAGAAAATACTATTGATTATACAATTTTAAACACACCTACACTAAATGTTGCTAAAACTTTACTGGGCAATAGATATTCATTAGATCTAATAGATCTTTTTCAATCTCATGATTTCAAAGATTCAAACACTGATGTGGATATGTTTATTAAATATCCTGTGGTTTATGATGAAAATTTGGAAAATTTAGCATTTATGCATAAAAGTTTTCCAAATATGAATGCACATCTAAATGATGCTCAAAAGACTCAATTATCTAATGAAAGGTTAGAATTTTTGGGTGATAGTTGGCTAGGTGCTTTAGTTTCATATATTGTATACACCAGATTTCCTTCTGCAAATGAAGGTATGCTTTCTCAAATGAAAGAATCAATAGTAAATAATAATAATCTATTTGATTGGAGTACAAAATTAAACTTCACCAAGAGATTACAAGGTAATATCGCTACACCTACTAGAGTGGTCAAAGATAAAATGTCTAAACGTTATGCTGATTGTGTTGAAGCCTATATTGGTGCATTGGTTATTGATAGATTTGGCACTGAGTTTTTGGATATCAAGGAATGGTTAGAAGAACTATCAGAAAAAAAATTGGCCAAATCGAGCCAAATGGTGATAAAGGAACCATTAAATAAAAATGCTAAAAATGAATTAGCCGAATTACTGCAAATTAACAAATTAGGACATAAACTTCATTACAGAAAGCTTACAGAAATGCCTCCATTCAGAGTTGAAGTTAAAATAGGTGACATTCTGTTAGACGAAGCTGAAGGTAACAGTATAAGGGAAGCAGAACACAGAGCTGCGATGAAGGTATTGGAAAATGATGAATTATTGAGGAAATATTCGGTTTATGATTTAGAGGATGGAAACTCGAAGAAATATTCTATTGAAGAGACGGATCTTAAACATGATATTGAATCCTCTGGAATATCTAATGAAAATTTTTTGCAAAATGAGGGAAATGGAACTGAAAATATAGAATCAAAATTTAAACAATTGAATATATCAAATGATAGCAACAAAGATGATTTAGTTAATAATATTACAAATTCTGTTTTTAGTAAATTGCAGGATGTCGTAAGTAAAATTGTCATTGACGCTATTTCCGAATCAATCCCAAATAATCCCCACAAAATAGAACAATCTAGAAATGGTAAAGTAGGAACACAAACAAATACTAGTGCTACAACTTCAGATGTCCTTTCAGTTCAAACGTCTATTCCTAAAAGCGAGTCAACTTCGGCTGATAAAGCTCCTATCACATGTGATCCCAATGCCAAACAGGCATTGTATACCCTGTTATCTAGATCACAAGTGTTCCCAGACTATGAAATGGTTCAACATTCCATGGATAATTTCACCGCTAACTGTATCATTAAAGGCAGCGGTATATTTTTAGCGTCCGGAAGAGGTCGCAGTAAGAAGATTGCTCAGCAAAATGCAGCATCAGCGGCACTTCGGAGCCCAATCTTAAAATCTATTTTGGAAGAACAAAACAATTTTTAAAAGATCTTTTTGAAATTATATTATGCATCTGCCTATGAATATATACATTATCAATATTAGTTGTTTAGATTTATTTCATACTTTATTGTAATTATTGTATAATGAAAATTTGTTAAAGGTTAAACCCTTTGGAGGTCAAACTAAACAATTCTTGATATGGTATATATTACAAATTCTTCTTTCTATTTTTATTGACAAGTTAAAAATTACATATATCATATACAATTAAAAACAAGTAACATCAGAAGTAGACCTAAGACAACATTAAATTCATATCCCAATCCTTATAAACTGAATACCACGAATCCCCTTCTTCCCCATGTTTTCTCCTCCTCCATACCTCCAACATAGCTTGTCTGGCACCCCAGTATGATCCCATACCAGTATTAGCTAGTTTTGATGCCCAAGTCCTGAATTCTCCTTGTAAAGTAGTATTGGTGCAAGCACACCCTGCCATAAAACCTTGCCAAATTAGCGGCACAATCTTCACATTATTTTGTTCTATTAATGTGTTAATTTCTTTCAATCCATGAAGAACATCCTCCACATATTGCTGAAGAGATGAAATGTTGAAAGACCTTACCATTGTAAAATAATAAATTATTGTGCTGTTATAGAAACTTTCCGTGTGTAAATTCAAAGCTTTCAAGGAATAATATCGATCAATATTGATCTTTTTAAATTTCAAAATAGACTCCTCGTTCCAATCAGATTTCCAATTAAGTAATCTTATTTCAAAACGGTTACAATAGTTTAAAAATTCTTCTGACAGTTTTATATTATTCAACTTAAAATATTCAAGATGCCGTATTAGTGATACACAATCAGAAAACAATAATATCAACGAATTGGGTAGTCCATATATAATTTCAGAAGTTAGTAATTTTGGATTCAGATGCTCACTGCTAGTTGTATTCATCGAGTCATATAATTGACTTTTAAAACTTGGGACAATAGCGTGATTAAAGTCTTCATTTTCACTGTTAAAATATTTGTCGTATTGAAAATATCCTTTTTCATTCTGAAGCTTACCTTCGAAGTTATCCATTGTTTCAAAAAATTTCCTAATGGTTCCATCTTGGTTATTGTCATTCGCTTTTGAATTATCAAAATATATACATATTTCCTTTTCCCTCACCTTATCCAACGAAGTACTATCTTGAATCAATTTCAAAAATGCAAATATACTATGTAAAATTTTTGCTTTATTCGATAATATTGGCCTCAATTTTAATCTCGATTCAATGAAATCTTCACAAACAGTTAAATGATACCTACAATCCGCCATTGTTCCCCAGACTACATCGATGGAATTCATTGATAAAAGTGCTACGACTATATCCTTATATTTCTCTAAATTTACAGTATTTTCTAAACATTCCTTAAGATAATTAGATGCCTGATTTCTAAAATTGATACCCAAGTTCAGGTAAAATATCATTTCATTTGAGTTCTTCGGGAATTTACTTTGTAGATTAAAGCATGAAACAGCTAAAATTGCATTCAAAAGTGATTTTTTTGAGTTAGAGGTATGTCCTATTCCACATAAATCACCTAATGCTCTTAAAACAGTTGGAAAATACATTTTTTTCCAGGGGTTAGCAGAAATTGGTATTACTGTCATTAAGTCTGCTACATTTTCGTAATAATAGTTTAATAGAAACCTTGTCAAACTATTAATTTTCAATGCAGAATTAGGGAAATCTGTCAATGGATCAGAAGAGGAAACTAATTCAGGTAATCTCGAAGGTACAACCTCCATAATAAAATTTGGCATTTTCATATCGTTTTCTAAAGGGTCTAGGTTAATTTCTTCTTTATAAGATACCATATTATTTAAACTAGTAGGAGACTCCAATGTGTTAATTAAGTTACCAGTTTCTGTTAAATTATGATCGGGGTTTATGAGGTTCTCGTTACCATGGTATTGATATTTGATCGACTTTAAATTAGAATCTATGAGTTCATCATTAGTAGGATTGTGAAATAAAGATCTATAAGAATCTTGAACATCGAGATCATTAACTAAATCATCAAAAGAATGGGAAGATACAGGTAAACCTTGTAGGGCTGACAAAGAAAGCATAAAGTCATCCTTCAATTCATTCGAAATCCAATTGTTCATATTCTCATTTACATCATAAAATGATTGAGAAACTACTGTATCTTGGTTTGAATTGATTTCTGAGTTTGAAGGGGTTGCAGTTGTCTTAGGGGTACTCTCATCTGAGTGATGTGCTTTAAATACACCAAAATTTTTGATAATATAAGTTTGGCCATTATCAATTTTATCTTTTTTAGGGTTTTGCAAAGATATCAACTCTTCATCCATTTCTTCATAATAAGTATACGATTTCGAATTTTTATATTTAACCAATGTAATATTTCTTCTTTTTTGAGTTTCATTTGACTGAGTACTAGTATTGTTTATGTTATTGTTTATCAGAGTAAATTTGTTTGAAGGAGTGGAATTGCTTGCTGAACCTGATATATTTGAAGAAACAGATTCTTCCCTGGAAGTACTCGATACTTCAGGAGTATTAAAATCTACTGGTTCTGTCCAAACCAATTTGATGTCGTAGCCACCACATTCAATTCTAGAATTTGTACATTTCCTACAACTTGGCTTAGTCAAATCACATTTGATCTTACGAGACCTACACGTCCAACACCCAGTAAAAGTTTTGATTCTTTTATAGCTATTTTTATTATTCTTAGCTTGACTCCTCTCTATTTTTGATGTCATATCATTCTTTAAACCTGTGGTCAATAAAAGAATCTTAAAATAACTATGGACTTAATGGCAAATATCGCTATATCAAAAACAGAACCTAAAAATAAAGCCAAAGTAAAACGAAAATGAAAACAATCTACACAGGGATACAATAATATATTTGAAGTATCTATTCACAAATATCCATTTGCTTGTACCTGAATTATTTTGAATTATTACCAATTATACGACGATAATATTTCTTAGGAGATGAGTATATCCAAACCAATGATAGGAAGGCCAACAGCAATAAAACTTGGGAATTCAATATCAACGTTTAATTGATTTTAAACTGAAACAGTTTGGAACTAGTATAATATAATATGGACCATCCAAAACTATAAATTAATACATCAGGTTCGATGCATTATGGGCATTAAATATCATACTGTATGAAATTTTTCAAAAATTGTACGTCTTTAAGTTTTGATGGGTAAATGAAAAAGTAAATTGCATAGAAACCAGCGCAGAAACTAACCAAAAGTATGTATTTATACATATATCATGAAGTCATCGATGGTTCAATAATTGGTTGAAAGCCTGTATTGAACTTGGACTGGGGCTGGGTCAATATGAAGTGAGTTAGTTTAGTTTTCAACACTTTCAGTTGATCACTGGTGGGACGATTTCGTTCAAAGTACCGCTTAACTAACTGAGTTTTCAGCCCAATTCATTATTCTCTTCTATGAATCATATAAAAACAGCTATCGGAACCCACTGTCTCCAACCAATTGCTATCTAATCGTTAAATTACAGCTCGAAAGATCGTATCTTTCATACACAATTCTAATCTTGTTCAGCTTTCATATTATGCCCCTTCTTTCTCATTTCTTACAGTGCAAAATATGAAGTTGCTGATGAGTCAAGAAATCTTTGAACTACATTTTTAAAAAAACAACAGGACCATCTTATCGAATCCAGATGCTACTTAATTAACTGTACATTTGGTATATCCATCAGATCAATCTCTTGATCTTGTCTATTAGTACCCTTTGTTGGTCCTTTTTATTTTCTGCATCTCATCTCATCATCAAATTGACGAATTTAAAAATTGATACCTATTAAAGAACACTTCAATGGAAGAAGATAATGGTTAGAAAGCAGCTCAAAGACCCTGATAAAGTGGGATTGTTGGTATATTCAGGTTGCTTTGCCCGTTATTGAAATAGTTTCCAATGTCTAGAAAGTTGAAAAGAACTCATTTGTTTTCTAAGGACGTCAGTTCTTTATTATATGCTTATGGTGATGTTGCATCGCCTTTACCTCAAACAGTTACTTGTTTAGATGAGGTTATATCTTCATATCTGGTAGATATCTGTCATAAGGCTTATAAGGTGTCTAAATATTCTAATAGATCCAAGGTTAAATTAGAGGATTTCAAATTTGTGCTGAAAAATGATCCTATAAAGTTAGGTAGAGCTGATGAACTGATTGCAACTAATAAACTGATTACAGAAGCCAAGAAACAATTCAATGAAACTGACACTAGTGTTTCAAAGACTTTTAAGGATGAAGCTACCAGCAAGTCTACTTCTAATCCTGCTGATAATGTCAATGACGATGTTCATGGGAACACCAATATTGAATTGGCTGATGCTAGTGCTACTGCCGAACATAAAGATGAAGAGGATGAAGATGAGGTAATTGAAGAAAGTGACGAGGAGCATGATGAAGAAGAGGTTGATGAAGATGGTGATGAAGATGATACAAATGTGGATAATGACGAACAAACCTCGAAAACATGATTACTTACAATTCATATTGACTTTAAAAATTGTTCAAGGAACGTAACCTAGGGTCAAGAAAAATTGAAATTTTAAATTCTAACTGTTCTACTGTTTTGATCGAACTTATAACATTTTGATATTGATTTTTGAGTTTAATTACTATCGACACATTTTTTTGAACTCTATTTTGGGTAAGCAAAGGTGTATATTATTGTTTTTAAAACTCTAAAGCTGATATTACGTAGGTAATATCACTTCTGATCGATTCAAGATATATAATTAGAACAATGAGGTATAAATACACTGTTCAAGACGATCTATTTCTGGCATCGATTAATTCCAATCTATATTTATGTATTTAAAATATCTGATGGATATGCAGCATAGCACGATATATACTGTTTGTATTTACATTAAATGAGATGATTTTTATATAACTTATGAATGAATATCCACTATTGATCTATATCAATCTGTAAATGATAGCAATACATCAACACATACCCCCAATCTATACTTTTTGGCTATGCATACATCTTCAATGATTTCCTTCTCTATATCTGGGAACATAGACTGTAAACTTTCAAAGACATTCATGTGTTCTTCTCTTTCTATTATTTCAGCTAGTTCTGAAATCTGAGTAGCTTCATCACTACTTTGCAACACACCCTCTTGGGAATCGTCTTGAGAAGTTTCCTCTTCCCCAGAATTGCTAAAGGTGAACATTTCATTGATTTTAGAGTATAATGAACTTGCCACTTCATCTAAAGGTCGTACGATATACTCACTAGGTGAGACATCTCTTTTAATATCTGTAATTTTCTTCCCACTCGCGATAATTTCATCTTCTTTGATCCTCTTCTTGTGTTCAATTGTTTCTCTATTCTCCTCATATAATTTATCAAACTCCACTTCATCGGTTATGGTTAGTGAGGATTTATCTAAACTGATAATAAAATCTATAGCCGCTTGCAGACTACTAATGTAGTATGATGATTCACCACGAATGAATCCTTCATATCTAAATCTCTCAATGTATTTTACATTTGAAGCTAGATGTTCAATGTTACCTTTTAAGATAGTGAAAATTAACAATGGTATGAAACTATCTGCACCGTTATGGTCCAATTTATTATGTTTTAAAATCCCAAAGAGTACTTTACATGCATTCAGAATGTTAACCATTTTGTCACGAGGAGCTTTAAACTTGTTGATCTTGTTTAACTCATTCCCTGAAATTGTAATAAATTTATCTAACTTCTTTTCCATTGGACCTGTAATATCCAAATTTTGAGGCTTGATAAAACTGTACTCTTCAATTTTGGCAACTAATTTGGCATCAACCTCTAAATCATTTTTATGACCTTCGTCTAAATGTCTTGTCTTTATTAGACATGGCGAGAAACAATACAAATACAATTTCCCCATAATCAATTTTTCAATACCCTCCTGAGAATTGAGCAAATGTCTTGCATCCATGGACTGAAAGGGCTCAAATGAATTAAACTTGTCATAGACAAATATTTTAAAATCATTAATCAATTTTTTCTGTTCTTCAGCAGTCCATAACCTCTGTCTTGTAAAATTATTCAAAAACGATTTGGTATATTTTACCAACGGTTCAGCTCTTGGATCCTTAAACTGTTTGATAAACAATTGGAAATCATATAAACTATCTTCCAAAACCTCTTCAGTACCCTCTTCAGCAACCTCTACTCTCACGTCATCATCCTTAATATCACAATTTTTTTCATTTGAACCCTTATCCTCCTGGACTTCATCAGAACCGGTTTTACCCTGTAATGGATCAAATTCTTCCAAAATTGTTTGATTTGAATCCATCTCAACCACTATTATAACACGAATCCTCACTCAAACCTTGGAAACCAGCACTGTTATACCCTTATACCTATCCAATTAACTCTTCTTGACTATATGACTTGTTAATATCAAATATTTCACCATTTTTTCAAAGGCCTCTCTCTCTATCTCATCAGGCAGGAAGGAAGCCTCTGAAAATATTGAAAAAGTTCATGAGCACCAATTTCGATGAGATGAGATGAGATGTGAAACAGAGGTAACTTTGATGTATTTGTGATTGAAAGGTTGGTCAAGAGGTTAAATTGACCAGTTTGTTGGATTCTGTAGTATTGGTTTTGGTTAGTTTGGTTAGTTTGGATAGAGTTGGTAGCTGATTATGTGTGGGATTCTATTGCATTATTTGGGTTCTTTAGATGGATCTAGAAATGATCTCATCGATGAGGTTCATGAATATGATGAAAGTTACTCTGGAGATAGGGTTTGCAGCGATGGAGATGGTACTTTTAATGAGATTATTCCTTATATAGTCTCTAGGGGTCCCAATTACTCCTCGTTGAGGGTCAACAGGGAGCATGGAATCAGTTGGTTCTCATCTATTCTGTCGTTAAGACAGCCTTTCACTAGGCAAAGTATTGTAGTTGATGAGAGATATGTCTTACAGTTCAATGGGGAACTGTACAATTCAGAGATTTCAGGCAATGATACTCAATATATTGTTTCATTGTTGAAGTCTTGTGATGGCGATGTGGTCAGCCTAGTTAGAAAATTGGACGGTGGATTTGCTTATACAATTTATGATTTGAAAGAGGGAAATATATATTTTGGTAGAGATACCATTGGGAAAAGGAGTTTATGTTATTCTATTGACGAAAATTCAGGCGAACTGTTTATATCCAGTGTCACTGGGACAAGAGGAACTTTCGTGGATTGCTTAGGTGGTGTTATCTATACATATGATACAAAGACTCATACATTAGATGATACCAAAGTAATAAGAGATAAATATGTAGTAACTGATATGACTGATGAGTTGGAGAATGAATCACAATATATGGAATTGTTATATGGAACTCTTTATGAATCTGTGAAAAAGAGGGTGCTTTCTATTCATCCGACACACATCGAAAATTCACCAATTTCAATACTGTTTTCAGGTGGTTTGGATTGCTCTGTTATCGTGGCATTGATATGTGAAGTTCTTAAAACTGAATACAAAGGTCCCAACATAGTACTAGAATTACTAAACGTAGGGTTTGAAAATCCAAGAACCGGGAAAATGCCACATGAAACACCAGATAGATTACTGGCAGTCAATAGTTATAAAATAATACAAGAATTATACCCAGATATAGATATCTGCTTAGTTGAGGTTGATGTTCCTTACGATGAATATTTAAGAGTTAGACCAAAAGTTGTGGATCTAATATACCCCAAGCAAACTGAAATGGATCTATCTATTGCAATTGCCTTTTATTTTGCATCCAGAGGCCATGGGTTTGTAACGAACAGTGATAACGAAAGAAATAAATATAATAGAAATGGCATTGTCCTTTTCAGTGGTCTTGGGGCTGATGAACTTTATGGCGGATATCATAGTTTCGCCAATAAGTCCATTGAAGAGCTTACAGTAGAACTAACCAGACAGATCAACAACATACACGACAGAAATTTAAATCGTGATGACAAAGTAATTGCTGATAATGGTGTAGAGGTAAGGTATCCATTTTTAGACGAAGAAGTGATACAGTATTCAGTTTCTCAGATTCCAATATCTTATAAAGTGAACAAAGGAATCCTGAGAAAGCTGGCATTGGAAAAACTGCAATTGAGGGACATTGCGCAGGAACCTAAAAGAGCAATTCAATTTGGTGCAAGGAGTGCTAAAATGACCAAAGATGGTAATAAAAACGGTACCGATGTCATCAAAGCATGATTCGTAATCATAACCTTGGCACTTTAATATTTAATAGATGTAACGATATATACTCATTTTATATAGAAAAATAACAACAATTGACCAGACAAGATTGTAAATTAATCTATAGGAAGCCCAAGTTCATACAATTGAGCTGATAATAATGTCATTTCAATGGTTTTATCATAGTTATCGTCATAGTTCTACCTATAGTAATGGTTTCTCTTGTAACCAATATCAAAAAATGGTAGAAACGGCCATAACTTAAAAGATGAAAATTTAACGATATTTGACAAACCTGTCAAAGAACAGTTAATCTTGCAAGAATAGAGGGTTTGGGAGTAGATAATCCAAGGAATCTGATTGTTAAATAGACAAAGATGTCTTCTCAAAAAAGTATGTTATGATTCAGGTGCTGTTTCCCTCTTTATTTTTGCTCTGCTTTAGCTTTAACCATTACTAACTATGAATTATTTGAATTGAATTGAATTGAAATAGTTGATTTAACTAAATTAAATCCTGAACAATTGACTTTAGTCAAGCAGCAGTTTGACCAAGAGTTGCAACATTTTACACAGTCTTTGCAGGCTTTGGTTGTTGCCAGAAACAAGTTTGCAGAATGTGTTGAAGATGTCAAGAGTGTCTCAGCAAAGGAAAATGAAGACCAAAAAATATTGATTCCAGCTTCTTCATCTCTGTATATTCCAGGTAAGATTGTGGATAACCAGAAATTTATGGTTGATATCGGTACTGGTTATTACGTGGAGAAGTCAGCAGAAGAAGCAATTGCATTTTATACTAAAAAGATTGAAAAATTGAATGGTGAATCAGGTCAAATTCAAGCAATTATTAAGGAAAAGACACAATCCTCTCTAGCAATTGAGACCCAAATAAGACAAATGGCTGTCAAGCAGCATGAGGAAATGGCCAAAAAACAACAAGAACAAAAATAAATGGATTAGAGATAGATTGTATATGTATATTTTTTTGTTTTTAAAAGCAAATAGCATAATTTCCATGCAAAAGAGATTAATAAAATAAGAATTGAATAAAAATGTAATAATATAAAATATTTTTAAAATATGCATTTATCGTAACTACACATAAGATCTAGTAAATAATTCCAAGTATATAATGAAATGGAGGGTGTTTTACAAAGCATCTAATCTGTCATTAATTTCTTGTGCAGTCAATTTTCTGAATCTTGGTCCCTTATCGTCGGTACCTTTGTAACCCAACATATCTTGATTGTTGTTACCTACGATGGCGATTTCGATAGTGTCCCCATTGAATTCACCTTCTACTGATTCTTTCAGCGTTAGCAAAGCAATGTGGATAGCATCTTCTAATTCCAATTCATTATTCCATCTTTTCTCCAAGAAGGTCTTTGCAGCAATCGAACCCTTCCCTATAGCAGTGGCCTTCCAAGGGAAGTAAGAACCTGAAGGGTCTACTTGGTATAAACTGAAACCATTGTGTTCATCGTGACCTGCGACCAATAGAGAAACACCGAATGGTCTAACACCACCAGATTGTGTAGCTTCTTGCATAATTTTTGCGATTTCTGATACTAAAAGTTTAGTTGGTGGATATTCACCGTATATTCTTTTATAGTTGGTATGGGCCACTTTTCTAGATTTATCAACCAGGACTCTAAAATCTGGACCCATACCTGAATAGACAGCACCGATATCAGGAGTCAATAAAGAAATTTTCGAGACATCTTCAGTCAATGCCAAAGGAGAAGAACTCTTCTTCTCAGTAGCTATAATTACACCATTGGTGGCTTTAATACCCAAGGATGTGACACCTTGTTTGACAGCAGTCAAAGCATAGTCAATCTGACCCAGTTTACCACTTGGAGAGAAAGTAGTCAAAGAAAACGAATATCTATCAGCCATCGCTTATTTCCTGCCTCTTTATGTATATATAAATTAAAATATCAAAATCTGTGTGAATTGTAGACCAATGCACGCTCAACGAATATCCTAGAATTATAACCACTAATTGATAAATGTATGTATGTGTATGTGTATCTGTATATATATGTGTGTATATATATAGATATACCTAGTTCAGTAGTATGGAAGTAAAAAGGCTTACCCAAAAAATAAAATAAAACCTAAACTAAAAAAACAATTTCAGCTAAATCAGTCCCTAACACTTGAATCCAATCACCGGCGATCGTCCTTGCTGTGTATCCAATTGTTCTTGGTGCTGTGAACCAAAATATACAGTTAATATATATCAAATATAGAGTAGTTATAACCTTTATATATTTGCTTAATGCTTCACTTTCCAATGTTCCAAATTTTGCCACCAAAAACTGACAGAGAGATCTTTCGCTGGAAAAATTGAGGGTTACCCTGACACATGTAGACACACTGCTGTACATATGGGATGATCACGTGTTGCCGTTATCATGTATGTCACGTGATGTGTATAGGTGGTCACGTGGGTTGTTTGCGCTTCCCAGTTTTATATGAGGGGAGGGGACCATCCATGAGTGATGAGGTATTGGTTATCGTCTGGGGACAGAGCAAGGGCATGACAACTTGGCGGTTGCAGTTCTAGCTTCAATTTTGATTTATTTTGTCGGTTTTAGTCTTAACTAGTTCTGGCCTTGGCTCTGCCATTTCTTGGCCTGTGATCTGTCCAAATCAGACTTCAACGACGGCGAAGGTCTTCTCACATGCATGAAATTACACTCATTGCCTCTATCGCAGCTTCCAACATCGTACTTCCTACAAATAGCATCGTTGAAATCAACGATATGTGTCAGATCACTATACAATGGCTTCTCGTTGTACCATCTCGTATTCAGACTATCTCTAGCCTCTTTGGCAGAACGCACATTGTCATATAACGCATAGACGTTGCCTCTCAGATGATCATTGCCATTCTCTGTGATCAGAAAAGACTTGATCTTACCAAATTTACACAGCTCGATAAACACATCTTCGTAATATCCATCAAAATCAACATCGCTCATCCGAGTGCCATCAGATTGGAAAGCAATCATATTTAGCACCACGATGCTCCTCGAATTGGCAGGTGGGATGTGTTTCTTGGAACACTTGTTCCCATGACGGCATACACCAACCTTGTAATAAAAATGGCTACATCAATTATCATTTTGTTAGTATATAAATCCTCGCTATCGATTTTTAAAACTTAGTCTGAATTATCATGTGTCAATACCCAGACAAAGACACCTAAAACATACCATCTTTCTCGATCATCGTAACTAGTACTGTTCGTGTTATAGTTCATATTGTATCTACCTTCCATCTTGCTTGCATTACCATCTATGATTCCTATCAAGGCTTTATATTGTATCACTTCTCTTAACTATGTAAAATTTCACTTTTAATATGTAAAGTAAAGAAACGACGAGAGATGAGCTAAACCTCATCTCATTGATAAAAGAGACGGATGGAATGACATATAAGAAAGAAACGATGGATGATCAGTTATGGGAGAAGGTCAAGCTGTGGTATTGCAAGCTTATTGAGTATGGGTAATGATGGTGGATCTTTTAGTAAGTCTTATAACTTGAAGTTAGAGTTAGACAAGGATACGACTAATCAGCCGGTTAGTGACGATAATGTCAAAGAATTTCAAGACGGCTCTATTTGGAAGTACTGTAAATTGAGCAATAAGCCATTGTTGGTGCCTATAGTTAGTGACTATAAGGGTCAGTTGTTTAATAAAGAGTCTGTCCTGGAATGGCTGCTTACTCCGGAGAAAGAGGATTATACATCTCAACAGGTTGAGCAATTTAAACATATAAAGAAACTAAACGACGTAATTGAATTGAAAAATATAATTCAATCTTCCAATGGAGAGATACGGTGTGGTTATGGGGATGATGTACTTGGCAAGAATCCCAAAGTAAGATTTATATATATCAGTAAATGTGGTGATGTTTTACCAAAAAGAATTATTTCGAGAGACAGTGAGAAGAAATGTCCAGTTTGCAACGAAGTTTATGAAGTTGCAGATATTGTCAACATCAATTATGAGGATTCCGCAAGTACAGCCAAGAGATTGGAATACTTGGTTAAAAACAAAATATACCACAATGGTAAAAGTAAGGTCAAGAAAAGAGTTTCAAAAACAAACAAAATTACAAAACCTAATCACTAAAACATAAAAACCTTTAGCATTAAACTATATACAAGTCCTTAAATAATTGATAAATAAATTAAAGGTGTAATTCAATATGTCTGTATATGAATGAAATAAAACCATTAATAGTGCAATCAAACTTAAAATATAAAATTGAGACATCATCTCCCTAGTCTCTCTCTCTCTCTCTCTCTATGTACATACAAAAAATAAAAGATAAAAGAAACAGCGTCTATTCAGAAGATGCTACTGAACCTTCCAATTCTCTAGCTTCATCGCTGCTCAATTTGGAGGAACCAGAAGCAAGTTGCTGTTGTTCATACTTTTTACCATTCATGTACATTGTGTAGACTAATCCACCACTCATATACAGAGATCCACCAACTAAAGTCAAAACAGTCAAACGATGAACCGCATCAGTGACTCTTGTATACCATGCGTATTTAGACATTGCTAATATCTTATTACCTATTACAGTTTGGATCTAACCAGAATGCTACTGTTCTAATCAATCATCCTTGATATCTCTTGTTATATATACATATTCAATTCTCTCTCTATACTTAAATATTTCAAATTCAGTGAGAGCATATTCCTATGATTATTTGTTTCGTGAGCAGTGATATAGATGGATCCCGCTGTTGTATATTGGGTACCACGTGATTATCATTAGAGTTATAATTTATATCTGGCCTGGTGAGGGTAACACATGAGACACTTAGCTTCATAACAGTACCAAGTGTCAGGAACCATTTAGATGTATTAACCAATACAAATAACACAGTACTTCAGGTTGACTTTGACCTCTGAGTTGATGTTGAGACAATGCTGAACTGACTATAGTCTTCTCAATTCGGGTATTATTTTCTATCCTACTCTATGGGATTTCTATATAAGGATAATTTAAGAAAGTGAATAAGTCCAACTGCTTGATAGTTTATATCTATTCAATCATATTTTTATTTTAAACAGCTAGTACCAATACAACTACTTAAATATCATATATATAGTTTATAGCAGGTATCTTTGAGGTTTCTAACCTCTAGTCCTCATCTACTGTCAACCTCCAGAACTCTCTAATTTGAAGATTAAGATAGATGACAGTAATTTAAGAAACTAAATTGCTAACGTTGAAGTTAGGATTTGAAGATCTTGGGCTATTGGATATGGTTGATTGGCAAATATATGAGATGACCAATGCTGGCTCGGTCGTCCAAATATAGTAACTGTTAAGAGGAATTGGGATTTTATGGATATGTTACCCAACAGAAAATTTCAAAGAGAAGTAATAATAAATGCAATGGTATTAAGTTTATATAATCATAAAGAGCGTGTGTGTATAGAGGGATACAGATAAAAAAATAAACGTTAAGTGTCTTCCGTATTGTAGTTTGATTTATTTTGTATTCTTTTCTTTACAGGAAAGCGGATTGACTGATTAGTATTAAATTATTAAAATTGGTTGATTGACTGATTGGTTAAATGAATGAATGTAGTGGAATGCTTAATTTTGAATATAAGTGTTCTTTAACAAAAATAAAGTATTTTGATTTCTTCTTTTTCAATAAAAATAAAAATCTTTTGTGAATGCTGCTGTCTAAAAATTTCTTAGGTTAATGTCTTCTTCTTCGTCGTCGTCTTCTTCATTGTTATTGTTATAGTGTTTGTCTTCATCTATAACTTCATCGTTTGACATCGACGAGTACCCGTTACTTGAATGCTTATTTGTCGAACCTGTTAATGTACTATTACGATTCACCGCAGGTTTGTTAGCAGTAGCAGTAGCTTGTGTATTGTTTCTTTTGATTGTACCTTGGTTGGCTATATTATGTCTTCTAGCCTGAAGCATGTCCAAATCGAAATCATTGATCGAAGTGTTATCGTTTATTTGTTGATCCAAATCTGAACTGCTTGATCCCAATGGAGAATTTGTATCATACTTTTGGCTGGCATCTTTACCTAATAATTTGTACCACCATAAGGTCAATTTATTAGCACTGTAGGCAGTGACGACTTTACCATCGGAGTCGATAAAATCAGTTTTCTTCGATTGTATGCAGAAGATGTATAGCACAATAGCAATACCGATCAATAAAGGTACACCAATACCGACAACACAACCGATGATTATATTACGATTCTTTCTTGATAGACCTTTATGGCCATTAGTGTTGTCGTTGGTACCAGTAGATGAAGCAGTGGCAGTGATAGTGATGTATATATCAGAGACCCTGCTTGTACCATTTACCAATTCAGTGGTCAGAGTTCTTATGACAGAAGCTGATTCTGATGGAGTTGAAGAATCAGTAGGTGTGAAGATGGAGGTAGATTCTTCTTCAGTGGAAGAAACTCGATGATGACGATGAAGTTGTGGTTGAGGAAGAAAAGGAAGTTGTGGAAGATCTAGTAGAGGATCTCGAAGACCTTGATGAACGAGAAGTTGTAGTTGATC